GGTCAATAGCAAGTGCTTTGCTAGCCTACTGTGGGACTGACACGGATTGGGGACCTCCTTGATATAACTTTCTGAGGGTGGTTGTATTCCAGCCATTGTTCTTGGCAGAAGGGGTTTATTTGAATGCAGCTATCTGTCACTAGCTGTGCTCTACTGCAATTGCAGTGAACCCTCACATGGAGTAGGCCTGTTTTCCTAGAGCCTCGCTATCTGAGGATAGTTATGTGCTAGCTCACCTAGACAGTGCTATCTCCCCTGCTAGGGTAGTAAGTAGATAGCCCACTCTATGTGGTCTGGGCAGCTCTGTAGAAAGACTATCTGGGCTCTGATGCGGATTTGGGACCACCTTAGTATAGCCATCTGAGGGTGGTAATATTCCAGCCATTGGTATAGCAGATTGGGTTTACCTGAATACAGCTATCTGTGGCTAGCTGTGTTCCATTATGGTTGAGGTGAGTCCTCCTATGGAGTGGTCCCTTTTTCCTAGAGCCTAGCTATCTGAGGATAGCTATGTGCTAGCTCAGTGATCGCTCCCCTGCTTAGGGTTTTAAGTAGTGGTCTTTTGAGCCTTACCTAGACAGTGATGTCTCCCCTCTTTGGGTTGTAAGTAGACAGCCCACTCTTTGTGGTCTGGGTAGTTTTAGTTGAGTCCCCCTTCTGGTAGCCCTTCCTAGGTACATAGCTATCGGAGAATATCTATGTGCTAGCTCAGTGACTGCTCCCTTCTTAGGGTCCTTAAGTAGCGGACTTGGGGTTTTTAAGTAGTGGTCTTTTGGGCCTTACCTAGACAGTGCTGTCTCCCCTCTTTGGGTTGTAAGTAGACAGCCCACTATTTGTGGTCTGGGTAGTTTCAGTCGGTCCCCCCCCCTTTTTTTTGGTAGTCCTTCCTAAGTACATAGCTATCTGAGGATATCTGTGTGCTAGCTCAGTGACTGCTCCCCTTTCTAGGGTCTTTAAGTAGTGGTCTCCTTGAGCCCTCGCCTAGACAGTGCTATCTCCCCTGCTAGGGAAGTAAGTAGATAGCCCCCTCTATGTTGTCTGGGCAGCCTTATAGGAGGATTTACCTGGTTATTCTGGTCCGCTAGCCTACATAAGACCTTAGGGACATAGCTATCTGAGGATAGCTGTGTACTAGCTCAGCAGCTACTCTCTTTACCTGGGATTTAAAGGGGTCATATGATGTTGCTAAAAAGAACATTATTTTGTGTATTTGGTGTAATGAAATGTGTTTATGCGGTTTAAGGTTAAAAAAACACATTATTTTCCACATACTGTACATTATTGTTTCTCCTCTATGCCCCGCCTTTCTGAAACGCGTCGATTTTTACAACAAGGTAAATAACTCCTTTTTTGATTGTTTGTTGGTTGTTTTTTTTTACAACTTATTATCCCTTTTATCGGAACTGATTTCCCACTGTGAGGATATTTAAATGATCCACAGTGATACATATAATTAGATCGATTGCATGCACCACAATAATAATTGCCTTCTGAAATAGATGTCATTGACTACGTTTACATGTGCACAAATAATGCAATTATTTCCAATAATTACAGTAATTGCAGTAAGATGTTTACATGACACAAGCAAACCTCTTCCCTCCAGTTTACAGTTTACATTATTATGATTATTGGCTAAGAAGTGTGGTTATTTTATTGCCATTATTCACATACCCCACAGAACAAATGATAATCTCACATAGGTTTGTTACTGACTACTGGCCACTCACATCAACTGCAAAACATGACTACAGATGTAGGCCTATTGGGAGATTATTTGGTGCCGTGATGAATATCGCAATCTCACAAAGTTCCATTATAACCAGTTAATATCTCTACACTACACAATAAATCTATTATTTACATCATGTCTACTCTTTGTTTGTTAAAATGAGAGGATTTGCCAGCTTTTTCAGCTTGGTAACTCTGCACTGAACAAAATCTCCAGTGTTTTGAGCAGTGAGGGGATGCTTGAACTTAAACCCCTCTGATTGGCCATTGTGTTGAAGAAACCAGCAGATGTATGTGATTGGCTACATTGCTTAATGCTGCAGAAACATGTTCTAAATAGAAATAGTTGAAGCTCTCCTGAGTGCAAAGCTCTGAAATGTTTTAAATCTGCTTCGATAATATCCTATTCTTACAGCCTCAACTGAGGGTTCTCTTGCTTCCGTTGGCTTGCTCAGCACCATCTAGCACCTCTGGAGAACTGGGCCTGCTTCAGAATAATATCACGGAGTTCATTCGTGAAGTTGTATGAACAAGACACAGTATCTGTGTACAATACGTGGCTCAAGCCTCCGTTACTAGCTCTAAAATAAAGACTTAAAATTTGGGGGTGGGGGTGGTGGAGAGATCACTTTAACCCACAAACTAAAAAACAACCTGTGGCAACAGTGCAAAAGTAGCCCAATTCCACAGTAAAACCGCGGACTTCGCAACCCTGTGGTGAAGTGATATTTGTAATGCGGTCAAGACCTGCCTGGAACTACTTTACCTGTGCGTTTCCCTGAAAATAATTGCAACCTTAGAATGTTCCTTATCCAAGTGCCGGCCCTACCTAATAAGTGAAATATGTGTTTGCAGAGGGCCCCGTGGCCACCAGGTTGCCCAGTGTCAGGGTTCAGACAGTAGAACATAGAATGTAGAAGGTACCAAAGTATCAAAGCTCGCTTTGTCAGATTTCTCAACAGCTTTTCCCCCAAGCTGTGAGGGCCCTTAACTCCAATCTCCCTGTCCCCCTCTGAAACATCATGCACAACCCTACCTCCTGAAACCATGAACACATGAAAATTGTTGACAATATATTTATGTGCAATTCTGAGTGTGCTACACACAGGTGAGTGGGCCATAAAAAACACCTGTAGTTACACTCTTTTCTCTGTATGTGCACTAGACAGTTTTATACACACTCCCTGCTACAAAGACCCAATTTGATAATATATGTTTACTTGTGCATTGCACTACAAATCATATTGCACTCTGCACTGCTTCCCCTAAAATATCTCTTTTGCACAATTGAATGTACAGTATTTAAGTAAAGTGCTTGTACATTCTCAGATTGTGTGTTTATATAGCCAATTATTTATAGTATATGTATAGTCAGACCAACCCGATCTCATGAAAGTGCATATAAATAGTACGCCAAATAAAAACGAAAACTCGTGGTATTGATACGCAAAAATGGACTTTGGCATGTATATGCTACGCGATGGGTAGGTTTAGGGTTGTGGGGTAGATGTGTATCATATGTACGCGAAAACTGCGTATCATATGCACGCCAACAAATTTCGTATCATATGCACGCGAAAACTGCGTATTATATGCACGCCAAACACATGCGTACCATATGCACGCCAAAGTCCATTTTTGCGTATCAATTCCACGAGTTTTTGTTTTTATTTGGCGTACTATTTATACGCATTTTCATGAGACTGGCTCAGTCAGACAGTCAGCTGTTTTTTATAGATCTATAATTGTTTTTCTTATACTTCTATTGTTGTATGTGTCAGGGTTGGGGATGAAGGGATGAGGCGAGGACTCAATGGTGCAGGAGATAAGGGCTTCTTATTCAAATAATCAAAATAAACAACAAAAACTACCCTGTGGGGGAAAAACAGGCTGGCAAGGCTAACACGCAACTAATGAGAAAACTCATAAGCCGCGTGTTCAACAAGACAACAAGAAAAGCACGCGGTTGAACACAAACCGCGTGCTACACAATACACAACACACGTGGACAGAAGAGCACACGGCCGAGCGAACTCGAGACCGCACGCTCACACAACCAGACAGAACATGGAGCGCGAGTGTCCGGACCCCGAGGTAACAAGATGGGTGGGGTCAAGACCATTGACATGACAGCACATGGCACACAGGAAACAAAGACAAAAGCCATGTGCTCACACAAACAAACACAAGCACAAGCACATGGCCAGCAAAATAATCACAAGCCATGTGCTTGAACAAAACAAGACACGAACACGCAACTAATGAGAAAACTCATAAGCCGCGTGTTCACACAAGACAAGACAGCAAGCATGCGGCTGAACACAAACCGCGTGCTACACAAACATGAAAACAATGACATGACGGGAGTGTCAGGGCTCTGTCACAAAACCATGAATTACACTAGACCAAAGTGACAGAACCCTGACAGTATGTTTATATTTATGTTTAATTAGTATGTACCACCGTGGTCCTGCGAGACACGACATTTCATTCCATTATATGTCCACACATGTAGCAGAATGACAATAAAGCTTGACTTGACTTGACTTAATGCTTAGTAATAATAACTTTGATAAAGTTTGCGTGTGTCAGTCACATGTTAATATTTGGAAATGAAGAGGCAGCAATATCAATCTGGTGCAGAGAAGTGGAAAAAGCTGAAAGAAAGCAATATAAAGGTAAGTGATGCTAGGGCCTGCAAATATTTAATGGTTTTATAATACCAGTCCTAGGTACATAAGGTTCCATCCATTTCCATTTGTGAAAAAAAATAAATAAATAGTAAGTTGGCTATCCCAATAAACATAACCTAATAATAATAATGGAATTACACTAAACTGAAATTGTTGTTAACGTTACAAACCAACCAACAAACAAATAAACTTAAATTAGTGCATAAATATCTTACAAATAATCAACCACTTACGCTGACTATGTAATCACATTGTAAAGCTTCTACCTGTAATACACATACATTTACACAGTTGAATGATTTACAGGTATTACAATTACTAATATTACAATTATTTATTCTTACTTAATATAAGATTGCATGTAAAGGAAACAAACACCAACACATATAAACTGTTTAAAATAAGTGCACAATCACTATTCATTTTACAACATGAGAATTGTGTGCACTTATTGCTTAACAGCTCACTGGGGAAAACCTTCAGTAATAATGGGCCAGTGTTCACTATGGGTAGAAGAGCTCTATATAACAGAGCCAGCAGAACTCAGTCTTATCTTCTCTCAGCCACCTCTGAGCTATGGGAAGCTCTAATATTGTTCTAGTTTTCTCTCTGCTGTTCATGCACGCAGGCTCAACATGTCAGTTGCGTGGTAAATTTGAAATGCCTAATATTTTTAAAGCAGGGGAAATTATGATTGGAGGAATTTTTCCCATTTTTAATAAACAAGAAAATGTTATTGCCTCTTTTGAGAGAAAAATGCGAATGATTAATTGTACAGGGTAAGTGTAGAAGCATGCTTGTGATTCAAATAGGAAATTATTAAAGGATATTTTTTTGGGTGAAGTTATTGGCAAGATCCAGGCATGCATTGTTGTTCATGTCAAATTTTCTGTACAGATTTGACCTACGTGCCTTCCGTTGGACGCAAGTCATGATGTTTGCAATAGATGAGATAAACCAAGATGAGGGTTTGCTTCCTAACATTTCTTTGGGCTATAAAATAATGGATTCTTGTGCTTCCCCCACTAATGTTTTACGTGCGGCATTCACACTGGTGAGTGAGCAGAGGGAAGAGGAATCTACAACTCAGTGTCACCTTCCGCTTACAGCTCTTGTAGCTGAATCAGGCTCATCACAGTCCTTAGCTGTTGCCGGAACACTTGGACCATTCAGAGTGCCAATGGTAATGGTAACATTAATCAATCCTGCAGTGTAAATGCATTTAAGTATTCCTGATAATGTAATAAAGGCCATTTATAATTTGTGTTTTTTTTTTTTCATTTAATCTAGGTGAGTTACTTTTCAACATGTGCATGTCTGAGTGATAGAAGAAAATATCCATCATTTTTCCGTACACTTCCAAGTGACTACTACCAAGCAAAAGCCTTGGCCTCTCTTGTAAAACGATATGGATGGACTTGGGTTGGAGCTGTGCAGTCTGACAATGATTATGGAAAAAATGGGATTTCAGCCTTCTCAAAGGAAGTGGAAAAAATGGGAGTTTGCATTGCATTTGTAGGCACAATTTTAAGGACATATCCCCAAAGTAAAATCATTGAAGTGGTTGAATTAATAAAACAATCTACAGTAAAAGTGATCCTGGCATTTGTGCCAGAGGGAGATCTCTATCCTCTAATGAGAGAAACAGTGAAACAAAACATCACAGGAATCCAGTGGATTGCAAGTGAAGCCTGGGTAACTGCAGCAAGGCCCTCTACCCCTGAAATGTTCAAGTCTTTTGGAGGCACAGTTGGATTTGTGGTACGAAAGATGGCTATGCCCAAACTTGGAACTTACCTGAAAAACATCAGTCCTTACTTTCCTTTACAATCCACTTTTGTCAGTGACTTCTGGGAAACAATGGTTGGTTGTAAACCATGTCTTAATTGTGAACCCCTGCCATTTGCAAATGTTACACTCAACAGCCAAATGTGCACAGGAGAAGAAAAACTAAATTACACAGACAAATTCTTTGACGTAACACAAGTAAGAGTAACATATAATGTGTATCAAGCTGTGTATGCAATTGCACACGCTATTCACAAATTGTTGTTTTGCCAAAGAGATAAAAATAATGTTTTGAGACAGTGCCTAAATGTATCACAGATAACTCCAAAATTGGTGAGCAAGTTGGTTTATTTATTTATCAAAACATTTAAACATCATAAGTTGACAGTTTCATTAACTATATCATACTTAATTCCAAGGTCAGCGATCACTTACAGAGGGTGAATTTTGTAGATGAGTATGGAGAAAATGTGTTCTTTGATGAGAATGGAGACCCACCTGCATCATACGAGGTGATAAACTGGCAGCTAAGAGGTGGAGAGGTACAACATGTAATTGTGGGATATTTCAGTACATCTACAGATGGAACATATAAACTTACAGTTAAAGAGGACAAAATCCACTGGAACACAGGAAATTTGGTACTTATAACTAGGAATAAGCATGTCTTAGGTAGTTATTAACTAGTTATTATTATTGTTGTTGTTGTTGTTAATAGGCTAAAGCATATTAATTTGACAGATACCAAAAGCAGTGTGCTCAGACACCTGCCCAAATGGCACAAGAAAGGCTCAAATAAAAGGACGGCCTGTTTGCTGTTTTGACTGCATCCCATGTGCTGATGGTTCAATATCAAATACAACAGGTACCCATTCACCTGTAATAACCCTTTTAAATAATCAATAATTATTTAAAATTGTGTGAAAAATTGTGTTTTATGGGCGGCCACAATTGTGACCGGTGGGATAATGTTTATACTGAATTAACATATTTCTGCAGTCATAAAAATTGTAATATATCTTAGCCCAGCTATTTTTACTACGGTTACTATTATGCATAAAAAACCCTTATACAACACTTATAGGAATACTGAGATAAAATGATAATAATAATAATAATAATAATAATAATAGTAATAATTTAAAAAATGCAATTATCATCGTATTTCAAAATTGTTACTTTATTGAAACATACAATAGGCCTATATCATAAAATTGCTACATTAGTGCTACCAGTATTACAACGTCAATATTGTAACTTATTTATAACATTTGAACTTTTAATTTGGTGCAATATTTTGTCATTGCAACATTTTAGTGCAGCCTTCACTAACTGCAATTGGATTTATATGCAGTGTTGGGGGTAATGCATTACAAGTAATGCAAGTATGTATTGACTGACAGCTCTCGTGTTGCCATGTTGAGAAAAATCGGGAGTAAGTGCAGAGGCGTTGTGTGCACTGTGTGTTATCCCACCGATCACTATTGTGACCATCAAAATGTTTACTCATTCTATGACCACACTCAGCAAAACTGAATACAGTATATGTGGATTCATATAATAATACTAGACACCTTAAAGATAATGTGTACCAAAAATATTTGTCATATCGTTATGTTATAACAAAAGAACAAACGCATTGTCCACACACTGATATAACTGCTCCATCGAAATATTTATTGCAATGTTTCGACCATCAGGTCTGTGTGGGTTTGTGGGATGTGCTCAACTTTTTTATACTTGATATCGTTATGTTAACATACTTTACTAGCTTTTTGTATTTTTTTAGGAGCAGCAGACTGCATTCTTTGTCCTGAAGAATACTGGTCAAATGAGAGACGAGACAAGTGTGTCATGAAAATGACAGAGTTTCTGTCTTATACAGAAACGATGGGGATCATTCTGACTGCTCTATCACTATTTGGAGCCAGCCTTAGTGTAGCGACTATGATTATCTTCATGCGCTTTAGAGAAACGCCTATAGTGAAAGCTAACAATTCAGAGCTGAGCTCACTATTACTTGTTTCACTGTTCTTTTGTTTTCTTTGTCCTCTTACATTCATCGGTGAGCCAACAGTGTGGTCATGTATGTTACGTCATACAGCATTTGGTGTTACTTTTGCTCTCTGCATTTCTTGTGTTTTGGGGAAAACCATAGTAGTTGTTACTGCTTTCAGAGCCACATTACCAGGAAATAAATTGGCTGGAAAGTTTGGGTCAGTACAACAAAGAGTCATTGTGTTCTCATGCACTGCAATTCAGATAGTCATCTGTGTTCTATGGCTTATAATAAGCCCACCATTTCCTGATAAAGCTCTGAAGTATAACAATAAAAAGATAATTTTAGAATGCAACACAGGCTCAGATGTAGCATTTTATGCAGTTTTAGGATATATTGGTATTCTTTCAGCAATCTGTTTGATTTTGGCCTTTTTAGCTAGAAAATTACCAGATAATTTTAACGAAGCCAAATTCATCTCGTTCAGTATGCTTATATTTTGTGCTGTCTGGGCAACATTTATACCTGCTTATATTAGTTCACCTGGCAAGTACACAGTTGCAGTAGAGATTTTTGCAATTTTGTCATCTGCCTTTGGTTTACTGTTATGTATATTTGTGCCAAAATGTTACATTATTCTCATTAAACCAGAGAGAAATACTAAAAAACACTTGATGGGGAAATTTCAAAAGACTAGTCTCTGATGTATGATTAAAAAAAAAAGAATTGTTGTCTTATTATTTGCCAATACCTGCCATGCATTTATGCACTGACAAGCAAGCAAAGAGGCAAAAAGGCAGCTATTAACGCAGCCTAATTTAAATGTCTCAGTAGACCTTAGAGGTTGTGAATGTGTCTGTAATTCAATAAAATGTTTACTATATTCAGAAATGACCTGCTAAGATCACAATGATACATGAGATTTAATCATAAATGCTATCTAGTGCCCAGACCTTAACCAGTATTAGTAAATTAACTATTATTATTATACATTTGCTTTTGTTGTAAGTGGGTGATGAAAGTGATTTATGCAGTTGTTTGAACAGCATTATCTGGAAATAAACATTACCAAACAAGGTGTTATTATTATTATTATTATTATTAATGTTATATTGTATATGTCTGTGTTTCATTGTAGCATACAAAATAATCATGTCAATAAGAACATTCAAGTGCATGGTAAAGAGTTATATGCTTCAGAAGCAGGGCTTAGTTGTTAACAGGACTGTGTTTGAAATGGTAGCTTTTACATCAACAATTATATTATTGCACTAAACTCTTTAGGTTGTGATCATTTAAACATTTTTCTCCCTTAATCCTAAATACAAAGCATTTAGTACTCATTTTGAGAAACAACTGTGAACAGTTGTATCAAATATGTCATTTGAAATGATAATTATAATAACAACAACAACAACAAAGTGTATATTAATATTTTTAATAACCAGGCTTTTTTTTTTTTTTTAATTGATGAGTTGGCCTCTTAACTGATTTCATTTCAGTACTATTACTTCATCATATGCTTTTTGTCATTTCCCTCGGGTTTCAGAACTACAATATAACATTTAGGAGCAAATATACACAGTAAGAGACCAAAGGCAGAAGCCAGAATAGCAAAGACATGGACAGCAACCATATACTTTCCACGAGAGCTCACATAAACTGGAATGAAGGTTATCCACACAGCAAAAAATAAATAAATAAATAAAATATTAGCATGCTGAATGCGATGAATTTAGCCTCATTAAAGTTGAAAGACTGGTAATTTTCTGGGCAAAAATGCCAGTAAGAAACACAAGGAAGTTAGGAAACCGATTTATCCAAGCACACACCAAAATCCAATTTCAGATCCCACATTACATTCAACAACCATAGTTGCACTCATGGACTTAGTGTTATTTGATGCAACAGGAGGATTCATTGATAACCATATAATGCAAATTAGTGCTTGCACAAAAGTGCACAAGATTACACTTGATCTTAGTTTAGCAGGGCCAAACCACTTCATGACATTACTGCCAGGGAGGGTGGCTCTGAAAGCCATTTCACGAGTTCGCACTAACATACAGTCATGGCCAAAAGTTTTGGCAGTGACATAAATTTTGTGTTTTGCAAAGTTTATGCTCAGGAATGGCTGCAGGTTGGTGTGAGAGCATCTGCACGCACAGTGAGGCCAAGACTTTTGGACAACGGCCTGGTGTCAAGAAGGGCAGCAAAGAAGCCACTTCTCTCCAAGAAAAATGTCAAGGACAGACTGAAATTCTGCAGGAAGTACAAGGATTGGACAGCAGAAGACTGGTGCAAAGTTATTTTCTCTGATGAAGCTCCCTTCCGACTGTTTGGGACACATGGAAAATCGATTGTTTGGAGCAGAGGCGTAGCAAGTCAGCCCCGGGCCCATATGCAAAAAATTTGTATGGGCCCCCCCAAACGTTATGGGCTCCAACTTGATTAACTTAACTTAGGCCCTATTGTTGATTTTTCGGAAGTAAATAACGTTATGTGAATCGTGACTATTCAAAAGCTGTTTTATTTACGGTCTAGGCTAATGCTTGGAAATTATGTTTAAAGTTTTCAAGTCCATTCATTATTTGTAGCACGCAAGCCACCCAATAATCACAGCTTTGTACTTTGTTACTACAAAGTCTCAGCCTTCAGTCAATTTTAAGATAAAATACAAACAATAAACGTCTTTTTACGCTATTTAATTTGTAGTGAGATAATTCGCCTCAGTTCAAGATGCATATGAATAAATTATATTTTCCTCTTTAATATTTGTAGCACGAAATAAACAAGAATATTTTAATGCATGTTGAAAAAAATCTGAACAATTTAATACAAACGAATGTCTTATGAATCGATCAATCAGAGTTTTAAAAAAAGTCAAAAGAATGACGGATGCCACAGACTTTTTTTTTTGGAGGAGTAGGCCTATAGGTAGAATTTTCAGATTAACTTCACGTAATATAACAATTTGATTATCGTAATTTTGACTTTATTCTTAAAATATTATGACGTTAATCTTATTTATTTAGTTTTTTTTTAAAGTGGCACAAAAATGCTGACGTATAGGCTACTGAATGCAAGCACAATTTTGGCACAGCGGCCCAAAAAACAAACAAAAAAATTAATAAAAAACAAACAAAAAAATAAAAAAATAGTGAGGGGATATTTGAATTATTTGTTAATAAAGTAATGTTTTCTGAGTCAATGTTGCAAAAATTAATGAACCTGACTCGCCATCTCCTCATTGGACGTGCCTTACATAATGAAAGAGTTTTTGTTTTCGATTTGAATTACTTCATTTTAAAATAGTAATTTAAAGCATTCTATAGATATGAAGAGTTTGGTTCCAAAACGCGATAAACGCTATTTACTCTAGACAGTAATGGTGGCGCTTTGAATACACCCGGCATCCTAGTTTTCCTCATCTACTTTGTACTTTGTGATCAACAAACAAACTTAGGGCTGCACGATAAATTTCATGTGATTGTCATGCGCATCTCGTCAGTAAAGCCGGTTCTGTGATTAACAGTAAATCTCCATCACGTGCTTTTAGATGGATACACAGAGCCGTAGATCACTGACAAGCTGCAATATCGCGTTCATAATCGCAGATGAGTCGCATTCGATTATGAATGCGATATTGCGTAGCTTGTCAGTGTAAGTGTTTTTATTAATGTCATTTATGTTTTTGTTAATACAGCGTATAGCACTAGTCAACCATGGATTTATTGCATTTTGGGGAAAAAAAATAATTAAATTTTATAATAAGTCTTTGAAAATCTAAATCTGGATTTGAATTTTTAATGATATTATAACCTAAAGATGATATGTGAAAGTTTAAAACAGAAAATAGTGGTTTTCATCTTGCCACTTTCTTGGTAAAGAAAACACATTTTTACTCAAATTAATCAAAATGGATTTATAGCGTTTTGGAACCAAACTCTTCATATATTTATCATGTCGAGGTATATTTATCATGTCGGTGAAGGAGCTCCTGTTCAAGACCAAGACGACAGAAAGCGCATCCTGTTTGTTTTCCTTATTTTACAAAAGCACAAGGTTTTGTTGATATTGTGAGTGCACACAAATACAATTAGACCCTTTGCAGTTCCGAATGATGTATATACTCAAAAATGATGGCGTATTTTTAAGTTTCCACGGTTATTAAAAAAAAAATGCAAGTGATCGCACTGGCGCCTCCATGCCCTGCAAAGCGCACTTTAGCTTCCACTCTCCGCAAAAACGATTGAATATGCACCTAACAGTGCTCATTTATCTAGGTTAAATGTTTAAATTAATTTAAGAAGGCTAAATTGATCAAGCATAATGCTCAACTCACTGTCTGCCGCTGCCGCTTGGTCGTTCCTTTAAAAAACAAAAACTTGAATTTAGCAAACATAAAATGTTCCAAACATATTTCTAAATTAACTTAATAAAGAAGCAAAAATAAATATGACCACTTTGCCATTAAAAACCAAAACTGAACTATTTTAATAGCTGTGTAATGGGGAAGAGAGAGAGAGAGAAAAAATAGTATCCAGTCGGACTCGGACCGAGAATTCTCATAAGCTGTTGGACAAGGGCCGGGCCCATGCAGGGCTCTATTCATTCACTCGTTTCAATTAAAAGTTCTCCCCCAGCTCGGTGGGCCCCCAAACTGCCCGGGCCCATATGCACCTGCATACCCTGCATGCCCAGACGCTACGCCACTGGTAATTAATATTCACGCGCATGATGTGAAAAGCCACGAGTCCCATATATTTCAGTACATGGACTTGTTTTACTATTGATCAAACAGGAGACTGTCTGGTTTCTGTCTGCCATGCTGCTGAGTGGTTTGCGATTGTAGCTCTGTGTAGCTTTGTTTTTCTGTTGGAATTTCTTTCTTACTATCACTCTCTGTTGTTTAAACTGCTAATTATCACCATATTTATTTTAATTATGACCATATTTCTGATATTATCTATCAAACTAACTTGACATTGTTTGCTTTTAATGTAAATCACTAGGACCAGCATTCACGTTTCCTTTTGTGTTTCCTTTTCTCTCTCTTACTCTGTTTTAAACATCAAATAGGTTCACTTTCACTTTTTCACTTTCATCATTACATTATTTTAAATTAGTCTACCCTCCAAGATTACTGTTATAAACATGAGCCGCATCCAAAAGGTAAAGGGAGAGGTGTTGCTACAATTTATAGTAATATTTTCAATATTTCTCAGAGGTCTGGTTTCAACTATAATTCTTTTGAAGTAATGGTGCTCCATATAACATTATCTAGAGTGGTCAGCCTTAATAATAAATCTCCTGTTACATTTGTACTGGCTACTGTATAAAGGCCACCAGGGCACCATACAGACTTTATCAAATGATTTGTTGATTTTCTATCTGAGTTAGAGCTGGCTGCAGATCAATTCTTAACCCTCAAGCATCCTTCGTATAACAGCCCTTAAAGGGGTAGTTCACCCAAAAATGAAGCCACCTATCTCTCAAATGGACCATTGACACTCTATCTATAATCTCAATTAGGAGTGTCAATGGTCCACTTGAGAGATAGGTGGCGGTAATGCACTTATAAGTCAAAACACTTATCCTTCATATAACAGCCCTTAATCCGTCCTTTGTGGACAAATTTAGGCACGAAGGTCTCAGGTGTGATCCCAATTTTTGTATTTTTTTTTTTTTTATAAATGTCATA